AGCAGGGCATCCAGTTCCAGCCAAGCCTTCAGAAGCCTGAGACCCCAGGGGACATCCTGATGGCAACGTCATGAGAGACTCTAAGCCAGAATCACCCTCCTGAGCTGCTGACCCACAGAAACAGAGCGATGTAATGTTTGTTGTTTTAAGCTGCTAAGTTTTGAGATACACAGCAACAGAGAACTAATAACGCTCGGAGAAAAGAAATGCCTTGTGACATGGCTGGACCAGGACTCCTTTACCAGTGCTCTTTCTCCTGCGAAAGCAAGGGTGACAGGGGCCCAGAGGGAGAAGAGAAGGCAGCTGAGCCCCGAAGGTCAGGCAGGACTGGAGCCAAATCCCAGCTCTGCCACACTCTAGCTGTGTGACCTCAGGCAAGTTACTTAACTACTCTGAGCCTCAGTTTGTGCATCTGTGAAATGGGGACAGCAATACTGACTTGAAATCTTCTTGCCAGGATTAAATGTCTGGCCAAGGGCCTGGGTAACCTCCTTGGGGGCTGTGCAGTGCTGGAGCTTATCCAGGCAGCTGGGAAACCCCTAATGTTTGTTCCTTCCCAACTTTAAGGAGTGAACTCCCTGCCTCCAGCCCTCAGTCGCCACTACTCACCACCCCCTGAGAAGCCAGAGCTGAGTGACCAGGATCCAGCCTTGAGCTGAGGAGACCTCTGGGGTGTTTGAGTTGGAGGCAGCCCGACTCGTAGATCCCTCCAGAGAAGCCCCCTGATGGAGACTCCTACTTCCATCAAGGCTCCCAAGAGACATACTCAGAAAAGGAGCTGGGCTAACCAGAGCAGAAGGGTCCAGGCTCTCCTCTTCCGAGTTCCAGCTTCCTCACCGCCTGCTGCTGCCTGTGGCAGAAAGAATCCCTTTATCTGGGAGGGTATTTGGGGGCTATTTGGGACTAGTGTTCCCAGCTGTCGGGGAAGTCCCTGGATTTCCTGAGCCAAGTCGGAACCTCGTGTCTTACTCAGCATCTCTTTGGTGACAGGCTCCCTGTTTCCTTCGGAGGGCTTCCTGCCATGCCCGCCTTCTGCCCTCTTCCTCTGAGATCAGACGGTGTGGGCAGGTGCCGCTCACCTTCCTGCCTTCTGCAGGCCCGGGGACTGGCTTCCACAGCTCGCTCTGGCAGGCACGGCCCCTGTGATCCCATAGCAGGGCCGGCCGCTTGCCGCACCGTGTATGGGGCCCGGGGACTTCCCCTCCTGTTCTTCAAAGCACTTTCACGCTTGTTAGGGGGTTCGCCCGCCACCTGGAACCCACAGGAGGTGCCCAGTGGGCTCTATCCAGCACCTGCTTGCTGGAGTCTCACCAGCCACCACTTTCCTAGGCAGCTGCAATTTCTCCAAGAGAGGCTGGACCTCCCAAGGTCTCCAACCCTGTCTCTGGCCACCAAGAGTGCCCTTCTCTCTGCAGGCCAACTGTGGGCCTGCAGCCCTGTGCCAGGCACCGTCTCGGGCTCACAAGGCATCCTGGTCCTCCAGAAGCACACGGTTTCCTGCGACAGAGGGATACACAAACCAGTCATTACAGTCATGACGCAGTAAAGACCAGTTCTAGAATTGAGGTACCAAAAAAACGACAGAAACCGCCATTCTGCCTGGGAAGATGGCTGGGGGAGGGGAACGGACAGCTCCGGGAAACTGACAGCGAGGAGATGACCTTGGAGCAGGCTCTGAAAGTGAACAGGAATGGAAGTGTGTTCCCGGAGGACTGGGATGGGTAGAGGTGTGAAAGAGGCGGGGAACGGATGGCACGCGTGGCTGGAGCAGAGGATAGTGGGAGAAGGGGAATGGGAAGCTAGAGCCATAGGACTGAGCCAGGAGACGCAGGGTCTCGAACACCACTGGCTTTGATGAGCGCTGGCCCAGTGGGTTCGCTGTGCTGGGCCTTGGTCCCTCACCTGCACCATGGACACAAAAGAGAATCTTCCTCATGGGCTTTCCCAGAGGAGTCAAGGAGCCGACGCCTAAAAAATCTTAGCACAAAGTAAACACTCAAAGACAGCTATTGTTGGGGCGCCTGGGTGGCTCAGTGTGTTGAGCCTCTGCCTTCGGCTCAGGTCATGATCTTGGAGTCCTGGGATCGAGCCCCACGTCAGACTCTCTGCTCAGCGGGGAGCCTGCTTCCCCCCTCTCTCTCTGCCTACTTGTGCTCTCTCTCTCTGTGTCCAATAAAAGGCAGTACTGTTATTGCTATTAAGTAAATAATCTGATCTATTTATTTATTTATTTATGTCAGTACATCTTTAGAAATGATCTGATTTTTCATGGCGAACACCCCCCCCGCCGCCACTGCACCTCTACAAAGGTTCTGTGCGGGGGGGAGGGGCAGCTGAAAGGTCCCTGAAGCCCAGGAGGGCAACACGGGGGTAGTGGGGGGAGAGACAGGTTGCTAGAGCATCGCTGTTCGGATCGCTGTTCATGGATGTGTCGTATTCCAGTAAACAAATGTACCACAGTCCGCTTCGCCCCTGTTGCTGTCATTCTTGGGGTATTTCCAACATTTATAAATAATGTTTTAGGAAACATCGCTGCGTGTATGGTTTCCCTTTTTCTTTTTCCAGTTCAACCATTACCTTCATTCTTTTTTCTTTGTTAGGGCGAAATTACAGAGCCCAAGTTGTAAACAGTGTTTGTGTGTGTGTGTGTGTGTGTGTGTGTGTGTGTGTTTTGTAGGGGGCTTTTGCTAAAAATCGCCATATTGCTTTCTGAAAAAGGTTGTAACACTTCCCAGCAGAGTATGAATGCATACTCCCATTTCGCCACCATTTTGGGGTTGGATTTTACCGAGGTTGTTTTTAATAAAGAAGACCAAACACACACAACATGCACACACAAACACAAAAAACCCTGATGATTTAAGAAGTCTAAGAAGGTATGAAGGTTGCATTCATTTGCATCTCTTGCTAGAAAGGTGGAATTTTTTAAACCTTGTAATGACATGCATGTGTATTTCCCCTGGGTCGGCCGTGTTGGTGGTGGTGTTTGGTTATGCATAGGGGGTTCACTAGAATTTATTTATTCAGAGAACCGGCTTTTCTATAGCAGAAAGCCCTGAACAGGGAAGCAGGTGTCCTGGGCTGCTCCTGACCCTGCCTCGCTCGTGAACAGTCATGGGTGGTCACCTCCATGAACACTCACGTAATTGTTTGACATAGTCTCAGCTCAAACATGCCAGGGCACACTCCCCCAGGGCAGAGCCCGGAAGAGGGTCTTCTGGAAGGATGCACAGTTACAGGAAATTTTTCCAAGTAGAATCCAGGAGCTTGAGGAAAGTCGGGTGGGGTGGGAAGGGCAGTTACGGAATGTTCTAGTAGGAGACTGCCGGCAATGTTGTGGAAAAATAATCAGACCTGCGAGACACCAAGGGACACTCGGAGAAACAGGAGAACTCGGATTTATTTTACGCCGGTGGACCCGGATGAGCTCGTGCTCTAAGTTCTGGGCCCGGGCAGTGGGGTTATGGAGCTTTTACAGGGGACTGCCAGCAGTTACGTTCCAAGGGGTATGCGGACTGCTGGTAAGTGGGTTTAAACTGGGCGACCAGGGCTGCATTAGGTGGGACCAGCAATGCAGGGAGCCTGTTTATGGAAGGGGAAGTGGCTGGTTATCTCTTACTTCCAGTAGGGCTTCTGGTTATCTCTAGTTTATTCTTGGTAACTTTCCATCTTCTGGAGCCTCCTGGTCTGGGCCTGCTCTAGGTAATTTTCCTCTTCAGTAGGACCAAGGAGATGAAGGCGTTTCTGGAAGATGGGGGACATCTTGCAGGGACAGACCGAGGTGTAGAATCCTGAGGGCCACTGGGCCGTTCTGGGCTCAGGGAAAACAACTGGCCATTTTAAATCAGAGCACCTAGAACTGGCTGCCTATGTCTCTGCCTCCAGGTCTGAAAAAAAAATACAACACAAGCAAATGAGCCGGTGACCTGCAGCCCGGCTGTTGGATGTTCCGTATGTATGCTTGGAAGGTAGAAAGAAAGCAATAGAGAACCCGTGGGGTGGAGAAGCGCTGGAAGGGAAAATTATTCCCCTGCAAATGAGAATTTAACTTGAAGAATTGTATGGTTTATTTCTTTTAGGTAGGAGTTCCAGGCTCTTCCTCTAGGCAGAAAACTCTCAGAGGGCAGGGAAATATTTGTGGATTGACAACAAAATGCTCTATACTCTGTCCAACAGTTCCTTCAATAGTCAGTCCATCCGCCTGTCCACCCATCCACGCACCTGCCCAGCCATCCACCCACACACCCATCCATCCGCCCATCCCTCCACCTGTCCACCCATCTCCATAGTGATCTGTTCCCTCACCCACCCACACACCTGTCATCTATCTACTGATTCATTTTCTAGCAAATATTTATTCAGGGGTGTTGGCTTCTTCTGCAGTCCCCTGACTTCAGCTGTCCCTTCTAAAAGAATCCCCAGGGCGAGAGAGAAGGTCTGGGTTGACCCATGTCAGAATCTACTCAGGTCTAGCCCTATCTTGGGGTGGGGGTGGGGTGGGACCATTGTGCCTGGAGCCTCCCAATCTCCTGAGTGCACCCCCACCTCCAGGGGCAAGGGGTGGTGGGTAGGGTCTTGGGGGGCGGGGGGAGAGGGGAGCTGCCTTTCCGGGCCCTCAGTGCCCCGGGGCCAGGCAGCAAACTCCCTGGAGCTGGGAGGACGGCTTCTGGCCAATCAGGACAGGTCTTTCAAAGAGCAGGAGGGGAGTGTGGCTTGTCCTGAGTCATCTCTGCACGTGTTTGTCCGCGCTTTTTTTTTTTTTTTTTTTTTGCGTTCTTGGAAACCGCTCTGGGTGCCAGTGTACCTCTGGATGGTGGGGGAAGGGAAGAGTTAAGGCAGAGCCCTCAAAGAAAGAGCAGCCCACTTTTGAAGTGACTTCACAGCTGCGGCCGGCGCTGGGGAGGTGCGTTGGGGAAGTCTGCTGGCGCCCGAGGTTCACCCAGGTGTTGCTCCGGCTCTGGCCGGCACGTGGGCGCAGCGCGCTTCCCAGGCCGCCTGGGTGGGCACGTCTCCCCAGCCAGCTCAGCCTTCCAGCCCCCGGGATGTGCCCCCTCCACACCATGCTGGGACTGCTACTCCTGGGGGTGCTGGGAGCCTTCCCGCAGGTAAGAGGGCAGCAGGCGCCTGGGAGGCGCCCGTGGTCCAGAGCCCCCTCCTTGCTACTGCTGCCCTGCGCCCCTGGCAGTGACAGCGGAAGTCGGGGAGTCTCTGCACCTCGTTACCGCCCAGCTGGGGTGAGGGGGGCACAGGTGACAAACAGGGGGAGAGGAACCTGCAAGGATTCACAGGTGGGAGGTTGGCTGACTGGCAGCTGCTGGGGGCCTGTCTTCCCCCGCCCTGGCAGAATGCCGCAATTATTCATTCAATCAGCAATAATTGAGCGACGGGGAGGGGGCTGCCTGCTGGAGGTAGGCTCCTCGCCGGTGGGGGTCCTGGGCAGCCCAGGTGGGGCCTCGGTGGCCAGAAGAGGTTGGTGCTGGGGCTCTCCTTGCTACCGGCCCCTGGTCCCTAAAACGGTTGGCGAGGGGAAGTTGAGTGTGGGTGAGACGAGGGAATGAGGGTGCTAGACGGGCCAGATTCGTACTTTTGCCCTTACCCCTGTCTGACCAATGCGTGGATCCCGGGCCCTGGAGCACGTGGTAGGTGGCCGCCCCTGGAAAAAGGTCAGCGATGGGGTTGACGTCTGCTGGAGGAAAACCCCAGAACCGAATCTGGGGACTGCTCTGGGAAAACGGAGCCCTTCCCCCGTGGCCAGCACCGAGCTAGGCATGGGGTGGGAGCAGAGCTCGGATTGACCGGTCAAGGTCTACTCTACCAAGGGCACTGAGCACAGGGTCTGAAGAGGAGAGAGGCCTGTGGCTGGCCGTAATTCCCTGGTGGAATACAAAGTGTCCGTGAGACACCTGCGGGGCAGGGTATGAGCGAGCGCAAAAGGCGGGAACAACAGTGGTCTGTTGCGGGGAGGGCCGGTCCGTCCTCTTTAGTCCTACAGAAAGGGCAGCCCTATTGTGGAGGTCAGCCCTGTTCATCCCATCCTCCGGGCAGGGGCGAGGAGGGAAGGGGAATGGGCTCCAGGCAGGGGGAGGAAGAGTATAGGTGGAAAAGGGGGACAAGCACACTTCATAAGCGTATGCCCATGTTTTATTAGTTGTTTATTAGTTGTAGAGAGGTAGGTAGGGTTTTCCACATATGATATAGAACGTGCGGTTCCTCATTTGGCTTCTACATCGGCAGCATGTTTTAGAAATACTGTCTTGGCGATCCCCCGCTTCTCTTTATTTCTCTTTTCCCCATGTTTATCTTGGAAAATGCTACATAGTATTCTACCAAATGGGGGTTCCATGGTTTTCTTTATTTAGGTCCCTGATGGGTGGGTGGTAAGTTTCCTACCGCCGTTTGGTTTGTTTGTTTGTTTGGAATTGTAATGGACCGTGTCGCAGGGATGCCTTTGGGAATGTGTAGGAATGTGTACGCTTCTTTCCCCAGGGAAGAAGCTGAGGGGAGAAGGCAGAGGTTGCAGGACGAAAATGCACACAGGTGATAAGATGCCACCAAATGGGCTTCCAGGGTGGCTGGACAATCCCCCTTCCTTCCCCGCTCCCCAAGCAGTGCCTGAGCCAAGTGACTTGCCCACATCCTAACCGACTTTTGATCTTATCAGAGTTTTTATTTTTGTCAATGTGACCGGTGAAAAGGGCCATATCCTTGTTGTCTTAATTTGCATCTCTCATGGGCTCAGGCTGGGGCATTTCGAGGCAGGAATCGGGCTGCCTGTGGGGGATGGGGACTGCCTGCCCAGTCTCGCCGTCCTCCGACTCCCCAAGGCTTCTTCCGCCTCTGGGATTCCAGCGAAGTTTTGGGAAAATTCGTCATAAGAGGCAAAAAAAAATTCCAGGTCAAGGGTTGAATTTTAAATTCTTTTTTCTCAGCGTCTGCTTGGAGACTCCATCATTTTGTGGTGGACGCCTGAGGCCAGAATGACTCCCTGCTGTGTGTCACCTTGTGTGTCACCAAATCAGAGAGATTTGGCCTCTGATGCCTCGCGCTACAGTCTCCCCAAGAGTGGTTTTGGTGAAGGGACCTGGGGTCACTCTGATGGGAATCCTCAGAATTCTTTGCCCTCATGCCTCCCGCTCGCCTCCTTCTTTCTCATCCAGTCACCTTGGGGTCGGTGGGTGGGTGGTGGCAGGGGAGGGAGGCCCAGGGTCATTCTGTGACCTCTGCAGACTTCAAATTCCTGTCATCCTCTCCCAGGGCTAAAGCTACCACAAAGCTCCCTCTGGCACTCATGCCCCCCTGTCCCAGCTCCCTTTCCCTCAGGCCAGATGTAGGCTCTGAGGCTCCTGCTGGGCTCGGTTCTGCTGAACGAGGCTTTCCTGGGGTGACTCATAAGCTCTATGTGTCTCTCTTCCCTCAGGGCTTTCCAGAGCTGGGCTAGTGACCCCACAGAGCTGAGTGCTAAGAGTGGGTTTTAGGCACCAGCAGGAAGGCATCTCCTTGCCGGCTTGTCTGGGAAAGGGGACTTTTCTAGCCACTCCGGGGCTGTGCTGACGCAGGATTTCACCCTATGCACCAGGCAGAAGGCAGAAGGGACCCAGAGCGGGGTGACCCATGTGACGCGGGGGAGGAGGTGTGGGCTGGTCTCACTCAGGGCCTCCCCTTCCTCAGAGAGTGGCCTGGGCAGCCAGGAGCGCACAGTGGGGTTTGAGCGGGGTTGGGGGGGACATTAGTCAGCTTGAGATCAGTCAATGCTGGAAGAAGGGCAGCGTTTACTGTAAGTTTCTGACTCTGCTCCCACTCATCTCTGACCTAGACTTGTTTCTTGAGTTGATTGTGATTCATTCTTCAGCTCAAATGCACCTTCCTCCAGGCCTCTTTTGCCTCCGGAACCTCATCGGAAGGAAAACAGGGCTGAGGGAGATCTGGGTCTGGGTCGCCCTGGAAACTAGGGTTCATTGGCCCAGACGGTTGGTTTAGCCCAGGCTGGGCCGGGGTGGCCTCATCGGGCTCATGCGCTGACCCTGGGGGGCCCGTCTGGGGTCACGGCCGCCATTTTCTAGACGAGGAGGCAGAGGACGGTCTGGCCCATTGTGCCAGGACGGGTCAGGGGCTGAGCGGGACCAGAGCTACAGACCTCAGGGACAGAATGTCAAAAAAAGCATCTCGGCAAGACCAGTTCTCCAGCTTCTCTCTCTCCTGCCACCTCCCCAGGGGCTGTTGGGGCGGAGGGAGGGAGGCCTCATTCCAAAATCTTGGCTGTCCAGGGTTGAAAATCACTGGCATTCTCATTGGCCTCCCCGGTGGGGAGGGACCTTTTCTATGCGGCCCAATTCAATTACTCACTGACTTCTTGGGTCCTTGGTGATATTCCTCCAAGTTCCCATTCATTCATAAAATCATAAAGGAGCAGCTTCTCTGGGTCTGGCACGTGCTGGAGTGCTGTGGAAAGGTAAGTCATTATTAAGCTCCTCTTGAATGCTAGGTACTGTGGGTGCAGGATGAAGGTGAACCGGTCCTTGCCCCCAAGGGTGTGGGAAGAGGGACCCAGAGGAGAGAGACTAGCGCTTGTGGGGAGATCTGCCCCCGCCAGTGGGAGCCCACAAAGGGCCCATGCTCACCTCCACCTGCACTGGAGGGAGACAGCTTTTGACACGGGGCTGGGGGATGGGGAGAGAAGGGGGCCAATGTCCTCGCCAATGGCCCGGTGGAACAGCATGTCAGCGAGGGGGTGTGGGCATGGGCTCTTGAAGCTCCCTCGTTGGCTTTCATGCAAGGGCTCTGGGCTTCCAGGAGCCGCCCGCCAGATGCGGTTCCTGCACTGGGACAGGCTGAGTTCTCTCTGTCCACACAGTCTCGTGGTGGAATAGGGGGTGCCCTGCATACCGGGTCCCTGGCTCCCCTCCCTGTGCAGGCTGGGATGACAGAGGTGGTCCCAGAAACAAGCCAGCCCTTCTAACAGGTGAGCTGACATGGGGACGAATCCAAGACACCTCCAAGAATGGACAAAAGCTAAAGTACCCGGGCAGGGGTGGGGGAGGGGCTCCGATCCTTTAAAGCCATTCAGTTTTCCGTGGCAGCCGCTGTGTCCCTCAGTGGCTGCTGCTGCTGGATCTGCTAGCCCGGGGGCTAGTGGATTTTTCTCCCATCCGAGGTCTCACGGAGTGTGAGGCCTGAGTCTTTGCTGCCGCCCCAGAACTTTCAGGAGGACCGTGATCTGAATGGCTGGCTCAGGCAGCTGGGCCGGGGGTTCTCTCGGGCAGGAGGGGCGTCGGTGAGAAGTGAGGAGCTAGCAGTCACACAATTTGGACTCAAGGCCAGACCTTGGTAATGTTGACTGACTTGCCTCCATGCCGTCCATCCCCTCTCGTCTCCGTTGCTCTATAATCTTCAGTGGCTCCCCGTTGCCAAAGGTAACATTTCCCAAAGTTACTTCCAGGGAACAGGCGTTCCATGAGGAAAGGGTTCCGTGACCACCTAAGACCACCAGCAATTTGTCTCTCGGGCCCCCAGCTTTTCCTTGGCGAATTGGAGAGCGAGCAAGCACAGTAAAGGCCTAGATTTAAAATGTTAACCTCCCAGATGGAATCCAGGGGTTGGTGGGTTGGTCGTATTTCGTTTGTTGGGTTTTTTGGCTTGTCACCTGAGGACGGTGGGTGGAACCGGCGTCTGGTGGCATGCCGTGTGGGAAATGACGAGTCCTGGGCCTCTTCTCCTTCTGCTCCCACGGTCTCTCCCTGTAAACCACCGATTTCCCATACGGCTCTGTTTTTCCCTCTTCAGAACTTCTTCTCTGTGGGGCCTTCCGCCAGGGAAGCTCTCCTCTTCCTTCCCTCCTGCCAAGATCTTACTTTCCTTGGAGAAAAAGTGGAAGTGCCCCTCCTCCGAGAAGGTGTCGTGAATCCCCCACGCTCGTTCCTGTTCTCTCCCCGTTGCGTGAGGCTCGCGGCATTTTGCTTGGCGTCGGCGATCCCTGTGTTTGTCTCATCATGTCTCCGAGGTTCTCCTTCAGTCCTTTGCTCTGCAGGTTGGTGCATAGTGTCTCCAGCGGGCCTGTCGCCAGAGCCGCGTGCGTGAGCTGGGACCGTCCGGCACTGGCTTTCCTGAG